AAACAAATATCTAGACAACACAGAATAGTATCCATACAACACATAATTAGTATCCACATAACACATAAAAGTATCCAAATAACACATAAGAGTATCAATATTGAATACTAGTTGGTTGATTGTGGATATTAGTTGATATCTGCTATCTGGATACTAGTTTGTGATGTTTTGAATACTAGTCTGTGCTATCTAGATACTCAGCAAACTTGGATACATGTTCATACATTTTGGATATTAGTTAGTATATACTAACAACTTATGCAGTTAGCAGAATAACTAGGCTGATTTGAATATACTAGCCAAGTAAGAATAAGGAAAATTTTAAAACTGCTTTTTTGGACTTTTAGGGAGTAATGAATCTCCGGTTCCTATCCGGAAATTAAAAAAAATACATATTAATGAAAAAATTGTTTTTCAGCGTGAAAAACAATTGAAATGGAGCTGATGTAGCTTGATTTTCTGAACAACAATTAAAATAACATAATTAACATTTTCTTAACAATGTTCGAATAGGCGTGTTCGATGTTTTTACAACTCACGAGATAAATCTATATTAAATTATCCTTACTCCTATGAAGGTTCAATGAGAGCTCCAAAACTACGATTATGGCTAAAATTTGCAGAGGAAAAGACAAAAATTTGACAAGTGATGTCAAGTTGAGATTTTTGCGAACTCTTGCTCTATCATCTTCACATCCTATTTATAGCCATCATAAATAACTACCTCGAAGAACTGCTCAGCTGAAGTGGAGTGACGATTACCCTCTCAATTACTCTGACGATGCTCTGGCAATGAAAGTGTCAACTTCTTCAGTAATGACCTCCTCTTTTTGGTAGCTCTTCTTTAGTCTGGGTTTTCGAATGAGAAGAACATTTAAGGCATGAAGGCCCATTTAATTAGGGGGTGTAAGCTTGGCCCTAAAAACCCATTGACCCTGCCCGACCCGCCCCGACCTTGAGGGTTGGGCTGGGTCAGTTTAGGGTCGGGTCACCTTTTGACCTTGTAAGGGTCGGGTCACTTTTTGACCATGTGACCCTTAACAACAACTATTGCATGAAATTATACATGCCAACACATATGACCTATTTGTAAAAGTTTAGGTACTAAATTGTAAAAAAAAAAATTTGGGTACCAAAACATAATTTCATCATCAAAATTTATGGACTTATTTGTAAAAAAAGTTTTAGGTACTGAATTGTAAGAAAAAATAATTATGGGTACCAAAACATAATTTGTGCAAAATAAGTGTGTTGATAAGGGTCGACCCACTAATCCGACCCGCCCCGACCCTAAAGGGTCAGACAAGGTCAAGAAGGAAACAGGGGCGGGGTTGGGTCAGTTATACACCTTGACCCTTCAGGGGCGGTCAGTCAGAGTCATGGCAGGGTTAGGGGCAGGTCAAGGTAATTTTCAGCCCTACATGTTATCACATGTGGGTGGATATTCAAATAACATGAGTCCAATTGACAAAAATAATTCATCACTATGACTATGAGAGGTACTTGAGTTACACGTTATCACTATCCTCTCCTACATACCTAATCAATCTCCACCTCATCTCATCACACCAGGGGGTATACTGATTAGTGATTACCCTCCCTAATCGCATTCGGGGCCTCATCGCAACACCCCTCCAAACTTGGCCAAAATTTCCTCTACCTCGTTGCACTAGGGAGGTATGTTGATTATTCCCTAATCATACTATGAGGGGGTGTTCCAACTTCCAACACTTCGCCAAATTTGACCATATTTCATGTGCTAAATCCTAAAAGAAGGAGAGGGGGGGGGGGTGTTAAACTGCGACCCACTTCACCGCCTTGTCTTCATTCTTCAGACTCAATTCAAACCAACTCTATAATTAAGCCAAACTTTACCGCACCGCACCTCGTCATATTAAGGGGGTAATCAGTGCTCCAACACCTAGGCAAATTTTGAAGTGGTGGCGCAGGGATGATGTAATTGGATGCCATGAAATAAAAAAACCAATCAATGAAGCCGATCTTAGTTGATTTTAATTGTTATACTTAACTTCACCTTATAACCCCATTTAATTAATGGTATGTAAACTGTTTATGCCTGGTATGTACCGGCCGGTTTTGTGAGGCTTCACTGGCTTCGCGTGGTATCGGGTGGATGAGAGGCGGCCCTCGAAATCCTGCAAGCAAAGGTCCACAGGGGGTGCCCTGGGACCTCCTCCGATGCCTAAGTTAGAGAGAGAAGTGGATACGGAGTAAATAAGAGAGAGAATGGAGTAGATAGAAGTTACCATCAATGTGGTTCATAACCGATTATTTATACTAGTGCCAAGCGGATTGTGGGCATTTAATGACTTGTCGGGCGTCCTGGGGCGCCTTCGACAGCACTGGCTATTTCGTACCTTAGTCAGACTCCGTACCGATAAGGTCAGGGCCAGGTATCCGTTTGCCGTTATGTCGGGCGGTCTTTATCATGTCGGGCGGTCTTCGTCATATTAGATGGTAGAGACCGCCTTTGGAGGGTTTGGCGGCTCGTTGCCCCTGTTTGGGCCCGACTTGCTTCACTATGGGTTTTGGGTGATTATGGGCCTGAAGCCTAATCGTCTCAATATTGGCCCAACATAAACAATGTGATTAATTAGTAATTTAAGGACCAATCACGTATACCCAAAGTTGATCCATTCAAGGTTTTGCTCTCTCTATTAGAGAAATTAAACTAATTAACAAAAAGGCATTAACGATCTTAGGCAAGTAAGCTACCTAACCTAATATATAGTCACGCCCATAGCAAAAAAAAAAATTGGATCATAGATTTATTGAATCCATAGATTTAGCAAAATGTTATGTTTTTTTGCTATTTTTTTATCATGAATTGTAGCTAGAGATCTATAGATATCAAATCTCTCATAATTAGATAGATTCTACATCTTGATTTAGAGATTTTCTCTCTCCTACTATATCTCTTCTTTTTTGTTCATTTATCTCACTAAATACCCTTACCAATAAATTCTCAATATTTTTCGAGCAATCTATTAATTATTTTGGTTAAGGATAAACAAGTCATGTAATAAAAAAATAGAAATTCTTTTTTCATTGGATGCTAACAATCGTAATTACCAAATAATGAACATTTTCAAATCTTTTTTCAACAATGTACAAAGTTAAAATCTTTAGATTGTCTAGAATCTATAGATTTAGACTCCAATTCTCGAAATGAGACCTAAAAGAGTCTTAATTTGTTAAATCCGGTCGCTTTACGAGGCAAGAGGTGTTAATTTTAAAACCTACTAATTAACTTCCATTTGTGTCGCTCACGGCAGTGCTGAGAAATGAAATGATGGTGTGCTAATCAAGTGGAAAAGTTATTCTCTCTACTAACACATCGAAAGTGTGGATATGAATGAGGTGACAAAACAAACGGAAAAGGTGTATTAGTTAATGTGCACACTCTAATCGAAAGAATATAAAGTTTGCACGAGAAAAATGGTGTTGACGGAAATAACACGCGTCGCGAAAGAGCTAATCACACGGTGAGTTAAGGACCTCAGAAAGGCCTGCATGGTCAAAACCAAGGTTGTCAAACCAGTTTATGCCAGTGTGTCGGTTTAGCAAGTGGAATGGTTCGACCGGTGGCACATATCGACTTGTGCTGGTTCATGCCGGTCAATATTACAAATAAAATTATAAATACTCATATTTAAACATGACATTTAACGTCAATACCTAAACATTTATACTTGAATCCAACAAATAACATCAATATTTAACTTTTATACTCATAAAATAAATAATAAAATAATTTTTATCAATTAAATTCTCTAAAATAAAGCCATATAATTTAGAGATTCATATATCGATCATGCCGGTCATACCGATGGTGTCACGCCGGTTTTATGACCGGTATCGGTTGAACCAGGTTCAACCGGTGACACGCCGGCCGGCGTGACAACCATGGTCAAAACTGATAGGATCCAGCAAAAGGCCATAACAGACCTCTTAACTCTTGCTCTGCACATTTTCCAGGGAGAGAGTGATAAAGAACTGGTGCCATACTTGCGAGGTAAAATTGGAGTACGGAAAATATTGTCGATTTACTCTTCTTCGACCCTCCGTAAAGAACATCAATTCGGCATCTAGAAGTATGCCTACTTAATGTTCAGTGGTAGACTTGTTTCCATCGTTGCATACGCAAGTAAAACAAAGGCACAAATCTTGGCGTGGCCACCATGGTTTTCCAAATATCCTTGTGAGGTAAGTCCTCCGCTCCACCGAAATTATCTCTTTGTTGACGTGTTGAAGCATGATCTCATTGAATACGTATTGTCATTATCCTATACTACGACATTTTACGTGCGTGTTCAAGAATTAACTATGTCAAATCATACAATCTTCAAGCTATAAAATTGACCTATTGTCCTCTCCCCCTTAACACCTTGTAACTGTGCAACGAATGGGCGACACACAAGAAGGTCCTCGAGCAAACTTTAGTAGTGGGCCTCTCCCCCTAAAAAAATAAATTTAATATCGTGTGGGTCATTAATCTACGTATCATATACTAATTTTGGTGTAAAGAAAAAGTCTACCACAAAACTAAACAATTCATTTTATAGAGTTTTATAGAGTAATAGAGATCCTAATAGCTCAATCTCTCTAAAAAAGACAACGAAATCAAAACGCTGAATTGGCAAGTTTGGTATGGTGATGCATAGGTGTGCGTGATAAGGAGCATCTACAAAATTGCACTTCCTGATGGATACTCGCAATCAGGAAATGCAACGATTTGGATTAGACCGGATTTCTCCAAACTCGTTTATAATTTCGGCAAAATATCCATTGAATTCTGAAAGAGAAGATTTTTACACAGGTGAAGGGTTGAGAGACCACCATTGGAAGGAATAAAAAAATTTACAGGAAGTTACAACCCAGAGTGGAGATCTCTCTCTAATCAAATGGTAATGATCAAATTAAAGTTAATAGCAATTTTTTATCCAAATTCCTTACGAATTGGATGAATTAGGTTGCTCTCAGAACACGCGATCATACTGGGCCTGCAACAGCCAACAATTCTTGAGCTGTGACTTGGCACTCTCCCTGAAACCCTTGACCCGCATCAGGCAGAAGTGGGTGCAGCACAGGCCCAAACCCGACGACCCGACCCGGCTCGTCTTCAGCAGGTAGCAGACCGGCCCACACTCCGCCCCTTTCCCTTGGACCACGATCCCCCACGCCTTCGTTGCCTCCTCCTCGGCGACGTCGTTTTCCTCCTCTGCCAATTCTTTCTCCGCTGCCGCTACCACGGCGGCTCTGCCGCCGTCGTGGAGCTGCTCGACGAAAATCACCCCCTCCGGCAACGGCGAATCCCGCTTCTTCCACTTCTCGATCAGCCTCTTCCAATCCCCTTCCTCCACGGCCTTCTCCGTCTCCAGCTTCCTCCCCTTCTCGTCGGAGTACACCTGGACCAGCAGCGGCGCTTCCGTCAGGTTCTTCACGATTTCCGTCACCGAATCCCTCATCCACTCGTCCAGCTTCTCCGCCACAATCCCCCTCTCTCCACCGCTTCCTCTTCCTCGTTCCGCCGCCGCGGTCAGCAAATCGAAACTACTCTCCTCGGGCGCCTCTGCTGTCGCTGTACAAACCCTCGGCGTAAAGATTCCCCCCTCGCCGGCCGCAATCGGCGTCCTCAGCGACGCCGGCGGGGTCGATGTGGAAACCCCCAGCTGCCGCAACCTCCGATCGGAGACATCGGAACTAAAACGCGCCATCTGAATTGAACGGAGTCCCGCCACGAGACGGCGGCGGTTGTGATTTCTCAATTCAGCTGCAGTTCCGCCGCAGCCAATGGCCGTAGACGTAGAAGACGAAGCCATGATCTCCGATGGCGGCGGTTCCCGATCGGATTACAAGGTTGAGACGGCGGCGGTTTCCCCGATCCCCAATCACGCTACGAATTAACTTCGATTCTGGAAAAGAGCCGATCAAGAAATCGATTATTATGTTCTTGATTGTGGCAGTTGCTTTTTTCCTCCTCTATTCCGATGCGGAGGAAGCAGGGAGAACGAAAACCGCTCTTGTTTTATAAAAAGGAAATCCTACGAGGCAGAAACGATGTACACGTCAGACTTAGCTGGAATCAAATCTGGTACGCTAGCGACCATACCAGACTATCGTGGACAGGTGCGGCGGTCGTTATTCTCGTGCCACGATGTGGTTTCTTGTCCGCTCAACGGATCGGAGGGTTGCGTTGGCGAGATGTATGGAAGGATGGTGTGGGCGGTTGTAGGGGATTGTTTCGGGCGGGAGTTGGATTATACTCGGGAAGTCGAGGTGGCGTCGGGAGTTGGAAGGGAATGATCGTGTGGTGCTGCGGAGTACGTATGTGCGGGGAAATGGGTGAATGAGGACCGTCGGATGTGGGAAGCGGGTGGAGGAGACGAGCATCTAACGTGGAGTATGCGAGGAGGTTTCTGAAAGGCGTGTGTTGACACGCTGTGGGTGCATGGTGGAGCAATGCTGACACGCGCTTGGCGCGAACGGAGGCTAAGCTGGCACGAGGCAACTGCCACGTCGTCGTCTGCTTGCGTGGCGTGGCGACCTTCACCGAAAATCAAAAGCCGTTTTTTTTGTCCCGTTTCATTCTCAGTTGAGACAAATCACATTCCAATAGTCGTCAAGGATAATTGCTAGTCATGGAGACAGATAACGGCGGTTTTTTTTATTTTATACCAAATTGTACAAATGATTTAATCTTGTTCTGTTCATAATTAGGTTTCAATTAGATTTCAGTTGAGCTTTTATCTCTTAATGACAAAATTACAACTACTAATTAATGTTATAGCTGGGAGAGGAAAATTATTAGTTTCGAATCACTAAACTAATCCTTTGAAATGTTGCTGTTAGATTGCAAGTTTGTGTGGGTCATTTGAGCTCTTTTAACAATATGGTGTTTACTATGAAAGCGCTTGTACAATTTTCCTATGGTAATTCCCCAACTTTTCCACATTTGCGATTCCAAATGTTATTTTCCAATTGTGTTAAAATGAATATAATTTTATTGATTAGCAATGACTAAGCATCTAATCAACCTATAACTAACCAAATATTATCCTCCTAATGCCATCCCATTAAAATAAGAATTAAAAACCACCACCAACAACCGTTCCAGTTAAAATGGGTGAAAGGAAGGAAATAAGTTGGGAGGTTTCACGAGTGAAACGTGGGTAGAATGTAGATGGATGCATGATTTTATGTGAGAGCAGTGGTCGGTGGCTCGGTGCATGGCGGAAACCGATGAATAATGCACATTTTTGTTGACTCTTGCACGAATTGGGGAATTACATAAGGGCGTGGTGGTTGGGCTGTATGATTGACGCAATTGCACGCTTCTTTCCTTTTATCGATCGTTTTCATATAAATCCCGGCCGGCCGGCCGGCCAACCTATTCTGGATTAGCAGCTACCATACCATCCCAACGGCATAAATGCCGCCGACGTTCTCTAGCTAATCTCCGCCCATCCGACTCACAAATGCCCGGAGATTCGCATGACCATGCATGTGCAGGATCCCTTTCTTTTCAGTTTCCTTCCTGAAGCCACCGAGATGTTTAATGTGTTTTCTCTTCGGAGAGTTTCGTACTTTTCAGGCTTTTCGCTAATAGGTTTTTATTTTTAGTAGTGTTATCGCTAAATTTAATAATATTTATACATGATGGACCGTATTTCACCATCCATCATCCCATTTACATGGGCTCATAAACATTTAACACCTCATCGATTTCCTTTCCATATCACTGCCACGTATAGGAGAGGAAGATGGAAGGTGGGCAAGTGTGTTTCATTATTTGTCCCGTTTAATTGGTTGAGAAGAGGGTTTGTCCTACTTCAACAAATACAATGACAAAGGGCTCTTCTAATTACACGTGGGGTGAGAAATGGTAATATACTTTGTTATCTTACTTTCTGTAATTTGAGTGACTAATTGTATCTCACCAAAATGGCCACCTCCATGCCCACGTGTACAGAGGAAAGGGGGTATTATCTTTTTATTGGTGGAGAAAGGTTAAGAATGCTAAATTATAGCTTCTCCACCAATTAACCCTTGGTAATTGGTTTTCCACCAAGCCACCAAAGCACACTTTCCCCATATCACTACACGTGAAAATGAGGTGGCATAATTGTTTTCATTATAACCAACTCATTTCACCCTTTGGCTACACGTGGGAAAAGGAGAAGAGAGGTAAGGTTATTTGGTGGCGATATATGTTTCTTTAGGTCTATTTGCTTGACCAGACCATCCATTGCATATTGGGTGGTTGGGAGACAAATATATTTCTAAATTATTATTTTATTCTTCACACGTCACCCACGCTGGAAGCAGGAGGCACCTATAAATAGGACACTCATTTATGCTTTCTCGGCAGTTTATTTCGGATAAAAATCTGAATCTCTCTCTAGAGCCGGTTACTATGCCGCTCCTGGTTACTCTCTTCTCAATACTGATTAGAGCTTCAGAGAGGCTCCCCACTGACCACCGCTGGCAGGTCCTTTTTTGCAGGTGTCCATCTCGAAGGCTGTTGGCGGACGTTGGCAAGGAAGGTCGGTGCTCACCAGACCTTTAACACATTGAAGCAGGCTCCTCAGCGCTTGGCATCAACAATACATGATAAAATAGTTTTTATTTTTGTTAACTTTTTTTAATTTTTCATGATATAATCTTATATATGAAAGATATTTGAAATCAAATAGTGTTATCGCTGAACACTACCCAAATTCAAAATTTCATCCCAAAATCCGCTAGTTAGGCAAGAAATGGATGTTAAACCATCACAGAAAGAGGAAGACAATAGAAAAGCAAACCCTGACACTGTGCTTTTTTGGGAAGGAAAAGGAGGGGAGGGGAAGAGTTGGGCGGAAAGTGGGAAGCCCAAGAAACTTTCCGCTGTTTCCGAAGAGGAAAGTAGGGGGAAAGGAAAATGGGGCGGAAGATCTACGGTGCAAACCTCACCTCCAAATCGGAGTGAAAGGTTTTTTTTTTTGTGGGCCTTTGTCATTTTTTTATTTTCTTTTCAAACTCAAACACGTTGGTTGTATAAAAATAAATAACAAACGTTGATGATAAAGTTTAGTAAAAATAAATGCCTCGTAAAAATGGAAAAGAGAAATAAAAAAAAAGAAAGAAAAAGAAGAAAGCTTAGAAGTTAGAAAGTTTATTTTATTATATTTCCGTTGGTTTCTAGGAGAGTAGATAATCATAATTAGCCCCGATCCCATAAAAATAAATAATTCTTTTTCCTTATTTTTATAGTTATTTTTTCCTTTTTTAACTACATTGAAATTTAACTACATTGAATCATTTTTAATTGATTTAGAATGCTTATCGCTTTATCAATTATTATAAAGTAGAGATGAGAAAAATACCCGTAACCGTGATATCTGCCCGAATCCGATCTAATTGGGTAGGGTAAAACCTGAACCCGAAGGACTTTTAGTGGGTACAGGTAAAACCCGCAACCGAATATTGTGGGTAATGGGTGGGCATGGGTTTCTCACTATCCAACCCGAACCCACCCGATTATACACATGCATATGTATTTTTATAGAAATAATCATTAGTTTTCTACCCGTTTCTTATGTGGGTATGAGTATGGGTAAAACCTGAACTACATTGGGTAGGGTAACGGATATGCACTATCCGCCCCCGACCTGACCCATTGACATCCCTATTATAAAGTCTCTATTTATATAAAAGTCTCTATTTTTTTCCGGTACAATCTTTGGTGCAGTTTAGAAAGAAAATACAAATTTTATTCACAATTCATAAGTAGAATATTAATATACAATCAAATTGTTTTATTATTACATAATCAATAAAATAACATATTCATCACATTTCCCAATACACAATTTCCTTCATAAAACAACATTTTCCTCCCAATTTTCTTCATCTCTAAATCTCCCCTCCCCTCATTTTCCTCCCTTCATTCGGAAACATAGTGCGAGAGTCCCTTTATCATTCCGTGCTAGGTAGGGAAACCTGAGGATGGAGAGTTGGAGACTGCCACTAGGGAAGAATGCCAATATATCAACAAAACCATTTCATTAGTTGTTTGCATTTAAATTATGTTTTTTTGTCAAAAAAATAATTTAGTACTAATAAAATTTAAAATATTGAGAGATGTTCAATAATGAATTTTATATAATTTACTGCTTTTAAAGGAAAACAAATTTATATGAGCTTCATGCTCGGAGAGGTGGGTGCGGGCCGAGGCCCAACAACATCGTGGATCGATAATCGTCAGTCGTCACTCAAAAGTCAAAACAAGATCGGGCGACGTAAGAGGAAAAGATAACACCTCGGTGAACTTGAGCCTACAATGAAAATATCTCCAGAAGTGTCCCTGATTATATTCAGCGGCGGAATTACGTACACGCTTAACAGTTACTTGATAGAAAGAATGACAATTGTACTCACCATTTTGGAAAGAGGCGTGTTATTTGTCGCCCGTGTCTTTACTATTTGCCGCCCATAATTTTGATGGAAATGTCATTTTTACTCTTCGTTCAATTTTGTAATTCACCAAAACACCATCTTCGCTGGGGCCAAACCACTACCGTCGGCGCTACCGCCGCCAGACCACCACAGCGCCAACATCAGACCATCGCCACCAGCACCAAACTACCATCGCCGGCGGATGAACCCATGACAATTAGGAAAAGAGAAGACGTGGAGTTTCGGTTATTATTTATTAAGGAGCAATTTCGGAAACCCTTATTTAACATAATATAATTAGTTAATTCCATTATACCCCTAATAAAACCTTAAAACCTCTAATTAGTGTTCTTAAATATAATTTCTCAATTTATGGTTGTTC